ATTTCAAACGAAGTTTTGCGAACCGTTATCCTCTTCCGATCTGCTCTCGTGCTGTTTCGTTGATGGTTCACTCTATGAAAATTTCAGAAACGATTTTCTTGAAGAATCGTTAAATACCAGCAATGAAACCGTTGTACAGTTACGGCACGAACTTCAGATGCGTATCAATCTGTTGCACGTTTACGCTGATTATGACGACTACAATGAGGCATGCGGATCCAGGTGAGACTCTATTCCAGGGATTCTCAATTTGAAGTCTATGGATCCTCTGAGGGTCCGAGATGGCATACCAGGGACTCCGAGAGAGGGTGGCATGAGAGGGGGTGCGAGAGTGGGTGCGGTGAGAGGGGGCAAGTGAGGAGTGCGAGAGGGTATACGAGGTATCTTATAAAGGGCATCCTAAAATTTTCTAGGGGGTCCACGGAGCAAAAAAGGTTGAGAACCACTGCTCTATTAGTTGCACTTTTTAATGTGATCAGTTGTTTCGTTCAAACTGGTCTCATCTCACCTTCAGTTTCATTCCGTTGCTTTAAGAATCAGAATTATGTTTACTGATGTCAACGCTTGATTACTATCGATGGTGGATCATCTTGAAAGGGGTTAGAACTGATATTCGACGCTGTATTTTATCGCTAAAGATACTTCTAATAATTTATGACTGTCACCCTTGCGATTTCTTGCCCATCACATTTCTAACGTTCGGGCTTCTCACACAAGCTTAGGGAAAGAAATGAATAGAACTGCATCAGAGTGCTTGAAACTTGTTCTGCTTTCTTTAACGACTTCCTTCATTTCGAAATGAAGGAAGTCGTTAAAGAATTTATTTATCTCATTTTCGAAACTATCTATCTCATCGATTTATTGAGTTCCTCCTCGGTAACATCTTCTCATCAGTACTTTCAAATGCGTGATGAAAACTACTCTGCGAAACTAGGTTTGGAACGTTTGAGCATTCAAATTCGAATATTCTGTCGTTGTTTCTGTTATGCCTTTAAAAGCAGGCTCAATGTTTTCGAATAAGGTCAGCACATCTGTCGAATGGTGAATGTTTGCGTTTTTTGTTTAATGTTCGTTAACGGTTGGTGTTTCTTTGCAAAGCGATAGATTCGAATTCATTCGTGAATGGAATTAAGGTCAATGCGAGTGGAATTCCGAGACAAATCTCGAAGGAATTCCGAGACAAATAATTTCGTTTCCTCAATTTTTTATCAGTTTGCTAATATATTTTGCTGAGTACGTGCACTAGAATGAGCTCAGCACGGCAGTTGTGCTGACAGAATGTCGACGGGCTTCAATCAATGATTCTTTCAATATGCATGATGACGAGCATTTTGAACAAATATCGGAATGTGACTACTTGGAACGAAATTGGTATCATTTAATTGGAACGAAATTGGTATCATTTCTATAGCTTAGAAAACGTTGGCCTACTGAGACACAACATTTTGACGATTAGGTTTGGGAAACTTGAATGAAAATGCGTTCGATTTCGGAGGGAAAAACATCAATGGAGCGATATTTCCCTTGAATGCAAGAGT